TGCCATTGCCGCCCACCGGGGAGACAGGGGACATGGGGCGCATTGGCCGCGTGGTGCGCCCCTGCCTGCCTGGCTGCAGGAGGCACACTGGGGTCAAGCAGCTGAGCTCCCAGGGAAAAGGCAGGACACAGAGCCCCAGCTGGCAGCGGGCAACCTTTCTGCCCTATGCGGGACACGTGCCCCCATGCATCCCCTGGGGATGCATGCAGCTGCGGGCAGCCATGCCCCTCCCCCTGTGCCTCTGGATGACCTGCCCTGGCCCCAGGGCCCCATTCACCCCTGCCCCTGCTGCTGACTTACTCCCTTCCTCGCCAGGGGGGCCTTGATCTCCCCCCGCCCCTTTCCCTCCACTTACCAGCTGGGTGCTGTCTGTCAGTGTCTCTGTGTGTCTGCTCCTCACTCCCAAGCCACAGCCCCCCCCAGCCCAGCTGCTGCCCCTCACTCCTGACCCACAGTACCCCGCATCCTACCAGGGTGTTTGGGGACCCTCCCTCCTGAGGCTTCAGACCCCACACACTCACCCACAGCCCAGGTAACACCCCCTCCCACACACACGCACGCCTCAAAAATAGCATGTCATGATTTACATGCCAATATCTTGATTTGTTTAAGAGTTTGTCTCATGATTTTCGGCATGGTAGGGTTGGCAATACTGGATATGGTGTATATCTCTTCAGAGATATTAATACAGTGGATTGAATTGAAGCGCCTGTGCCTTAGATAAGTGTTGGGGGGGCACTCTGTAGAGCAGCACGGTTCATTCTCTGGGACAGAAATTAGCTCCTTTGGTTTAGAAGCCTCTTAGTTCTCTTCACCTTCTTCCTACCACCATCAGCCCCATACACATTCATGGACTCTGGCACAGTGGCACCAGTTGTAGAGACACTAAGGTGTCTTGCATTCCTGGCCAAGGGAAACTGCAGCAGCAGGTGAAAGGAAAAAACCACCAGTTTGGCTTTCTCTCTTGCCAAGATATTTTTACAAGAGTCCTAACAGCGCATCTTGGAACTGCTGCAAAAGTAAGTAATGAATCTGCTTTCCAAGAGCCGCAGCCTGCAAGAAGCTTAACCTGTGCTGGGAAGTGCTGGGTGATCTCATCCTCGAGAAGTGAGGGGAGCTGAATGCATTCAGCATATGACAAAATCAGGCCCTTCCAG